CTTCTTTCCTTTGCACGCAGTATATAAGTCGGAACGGCCGGGATCGGCCGACTATATCCTATAGCTGCCATATAACTGATTGATCGGAAATGCCATAACTCTGCTGTTTGTTAAGTTAGGAAGTTGGGACTTTCTGTGGGTTCTATATTTGGCCAATCAATCCGACCTACCAAATTTCATAAGGATCGGCCGACTATATCCTATAGCTGCTATATAACTGATTGATCGGAAATGCCATAACTTTGGTGTTTGTAAAGTTAGGAAGTTGGAATTTTCTATGGGTTTTATATTTGGCCAATCAATCCGACCTACCAAATTTCATAAGGATCGGCCGACTATATCTTATAGCTGCCATATAACTGATTGATCGGAAATGCCATAACTTTGGTGTTTGTAAAGTTAGGAAGTTGGGATTTTCTATGGGTTTTATTTTTGCCCAATCAATTCGACATATTAAATTTCATAAGGATCGGCCGACTATATCCTATAGCTGCCATATAACTGATTGATCGGAAATGAAATAACTTTGGTGTTTTTAAAGTTATTAAAGTTAGGAAGGTGGGATTTTTTATGAGTATTAAAAATGCATCATATGAATAATTTTGGAGAATATAATTTGCAGAATATTCTGCAAGGGTATTTCAACTTCGGCTCCGCCCGAAGTTAGCTTTCCTTTCTTGTTTTATGTGTTTTTATGTTGTTTATAGTTGCCCTGAAGACGGTTGCCGAAGTGCAACCGAAATTTATTGAAAAAAAAAATGAAAACTTAAATTTAAAAACTTTGGTTTAAAATTTTTTTCAATTGTTGACCTCGAGCCGCAAAAACTCCAAAAAAAAAAAAAAATTAAAATGAAATAATTTTTTTTTTCTGTTCATCAAAATATTCCTTTGAGACTTAGTAATTATTTACTATATCAGAATTACGCTTTTAGTTTTGTCGAAATCGGACAACAATATCATATAGCTTCATTGTTTTTAAAATTATAATACCCTCTGCAAGGGTATAAAAATTAAAAAAAACCTAATTTGTTTTGTTTGAAAATAAATATTTTAAAGGAGCAGGTCAATAACCTGCAGACAAATTAAAAAGCCCTTTTGAAAATTTCCGTGCATATGGAAAACAGAAAACCTTACTTTTTTTTAAAAAAGGCGTTCCGTGTCTCAAAACGAAAAGTTTTGAATTCGTAGACAGTCCCACCGGTTGAGCCACACTCTTATCGCAATGAGCAACTAAAAACGTACACATCAGCACCCTTTTACTCATCTTTAAAATTATTAATAGTGAATTGTTTTCAAGCATCTTCCAAATGCGCGTGTGTCGCGCGTTTTACTCAAATAAAACCTACATGTTTTATTATTATCCTTAATCAATTCCTTTTCTGACTTCCGAGTCTTGAGAGTAAATATTTTTTTTATCCTCCTTTTTTTACAGTCTTAGAAATACGATTTTAAGTTTATAAATTTCTATAAAACTATTTTATATAGGCGCCAAGCCTGTGTAAGAAAGTATCAAAATGTCAGCAACTCAAATTAAAAATAAGAAAAGTGTCAACAAAATATTATATAAAGTTCCAAGCAATGCTGTTATGGAACAGGTAGCAACTAAAATAATAATAATAGTATAAATAATTTTACTAACAAATATATTGATATACACAAAAATAATTTAGCTTTGAAAGATTCCACATTCCCTATCTCCTTGTTATATAAATTCAATAAACAGAAAAGATGCTTTAATATTAATCATAAAATATTTAGATTGTGTAAGGACAGATTGCTAACAAATAAATAAATTTGAATAAAAACACAAAAAAACAAGAAAGGAAAGCTAACTTCGGGCGGAGCCGAAGTTGATATACCCTTGCAGAATATTATGTACATTATATTCTCCAAAATTATTCATAAGATGCATTCTTAATACTCATAAAAAATCCCAACTTCCTAACTTTAAAAACACCAAAGTTATGGCATTTCCAATCGTTCAGTTATATGGCAGCTATAGGATATAGTCGGCCGATCCTTATGAAATTTAATAGGTCGGATTGATTGGCCAAAAATAAAACTCATAGAAAATCCCAACTTCCTAACTTAACAAACACCAAAGTTATGGCATTTCCGATCAATCAGTTATATGGCAGCTATAGGATATAGTCCGCCGATCCTTATGAAATTTGGTAGGTCGGATTAATTGACCAAATATAACACCCATATAAAATCCCAGCTTCCTAAATTTACAAACACCAAAGTTATGGCATTTCCGATCAATCAGTTATATGGCAGCTATAGGATATAGTCGGCCGATCCTTATGAAATTTGGTAGGTCGGATTAATTGGCCAAATATAACACCCATATTAAATCCCAACTTCCTAACTTTACAAACACCAAAGTTATGGCATTTCCGATCAATCAGTTATATGGCAGCTATAGGATATAGCCGTTCCGACTTATATACTGCGTGCAAAGGAAAGAAGGGTGTGTGCAAAGTTTCAATTCGATAGCTTTAAAACTGAGAGACTAGTTTGCGTAGAAACAGACAGACGGACAGACGGACAGACGGACAGACGGACATGGCTATATCAACTCAGGAGGTGATCCTGATCAAGAATATATATACTTTATAGGGTCGGAGATGTCTCCTTCACTGCGTTGCACACTTTTGACCAAAATTATAATACCCTCTGCAAGGGTATAACAAGAGAGAACGCTATAGTCGAGTGCCTCGACTATTAGATACCCGTTACTCAGTTAAACAACTTAATATAAATATGCCTTCTTGTATGTTTCTTTTTGTTTATTTTTTTTAACAAAATGTGAATTATAGTGACTACATGAAAAAAGGACAAAAAGTTCAAATTATCAATTTGAATTCGGCGATCTCTTAGTGCTGGCAGCTTTACAGCACCAGCGCTGCTTTAGCGCAGGCAGCTTTTGTCCTGCACCAGCAACTGTGTTTATATTTATGTTTTTGAGTGCAATAAATTGACTAGAAATATTAAACATACATACTTATATTGGCTAAACACATACATTCTTAAATAGTATTATGTATATTAAAGTCTAAATGTTTGCACAACAAGAGTAACGGGTATAGAGAATAGCTTTCTTTGAAAGGAGTTATCTTTGCCGGGCAATTGCAACTTTGTACAATGTAAATACATACATATGTATATGCTTACATACATACACACATACGCCATTGTTTGACTCAGACCTCCAATTTGACTAACTTGATTTGATTTGCATAGTTCTTGGGATATAGTTCGGTATTGACAACCATCGCAATTTCCTTTAATATAAATCCTTATCGAGAATTAACGTTGACTCTGTTGAGCACCTTGGCCAGCTGTTCCAAAGTCATCCGTTAGATGGCGCTATTCTATTGCGCCATCTACCCCAAGACATTGGTACCACGGGCCATGAAAGTCGGAAATGTAGGCGCTAGCCAGGCTTAAGCGTTTAATGGGTTTTTGGGCGTTAGAGTGGGCGTGGCAAACTTTTATTTGGCCAACCGATATTTATTGACGAAACAAATACATATCAATTAAAATGTTCATAATATCATAAAAACTGTGTCCACAGCTTGTGGCTTGTGGGCGTCAGAGGGGGCGTGGCTCCATTTTGAAACAAACTTGCGCTGCGTAGGAACTCCTAAAATCTACATGCAAAATGCCAATCTTCTAGCTTTTATAGTTTCCGAGATCTCAGCGTTCATACGGACAGACAGACGGACAGACAGACGGACAGACGGACATGGCTAGATCGACTTGGCTAGTGATCCTGAACAAGAATATATATACTTTATAGGGTCGGAAACGCTTCCTTCTACCTGTTACATACTTTTGCACGAATACAATATACCCTTTTACTCTACGAGTAACTGGTATTATTATGGCATAAAAAAAATGTATCGGGAAATCGACATAGCCTTTTAATATTTTATTTTTGTAAAAGCTTCAAGGGTATATAAAATTCGGCATACCAAATTTTTATTTTGATTACCTCTAATTTATGTTAAATTGTTAATAAATAAAGTACAAAACTGACTATCAAAGTTTTAAGTCAATGTTTCTCGGGAGAAGAAAAGCCTTAGCCCCCTATGATTGATCAAGATTGGATGACAATATCCTTTTGCAAACTGTCCCTTATGCGAAGGAATATGTACATAATGCGCATAGGGGAAGGCAAATTATTTGCTATAGCTGTCATAGGATTTATTAAATCAATTGCACTTATCCAAGTTCACTTTAACAGCAAGAGTAAAAAAACTTCCCATTTCCTTGCCTTTATTTCCTATTTTTATGTAGAATGCTTACGTCATATTCCGATTTTTAAGTGCAAGGAGTAATCAAAGGACACACTTGTGCATTGTTTTATCTCAGTGTTTTCTTTTGAAAGCTCGCAGTCATTGTATGAGCTTGAAACTTACTGCCGAGAGTGTGTAGACTTACGAATGGAACGGTTGTACTTGTTGCCAGTGTTGTTGTTTGAGGCGAATTCGTAAACGCAACATGTTTGAAGTTGACTTACTCAGACAATATGCTGTTGCATACTGGGATATGAAAATAGTGGTTAAAGTTGTTGGAATAATATTTATTTAATTTGCATGAGCCATCAGAATACCGCCACAAAGAATTTATTGTCCCTTTTATATTATCATTTCCAAGTGCTTACTCTGTATTACTGGTTAACTACTGAACACTTCATCGGCTGGCTGCAATCGTCGTTTGTGGCCGAGATTTTTGGTGTTGGTGTTGCTGTTGCTGCTGGAGCTACTACTTCGCAGCTCAGTTGGCTCCTTATTTGCCGGCTAACAGTTCGTAGAGGTCCTCGTGCGAATTCGTCGTCCGTGGCTTCGCATCGTCGTCGGCTGCCCCAAGGACTCGTGCAGTTGGATAGGTTCGTGTTCGTTGCACATTCGCCAGCGATGGCAAGCTTAAAATTTTTCGGAATGCGTTAAGGATCAGTTTTGCGCGAATTACGGTCAGGAAAGGTTGCTAACGACAAAGAGCCGGCGTTCGAATCAAACATTTTCCCAAGTACATTTCCCAGAGTCTTCCTTTCTGTGCGTGTGTGTACGGTCCGCGATTTTGATTAGTTCTTGAGTGCTTGAAGAAGCAATGTAAACAAATCGCCTATGAAAACTGACCTAGGCCAGGAAACTTTGAGAACGCAACTGACCTATGTCAAACACGAGAAAACCATACCAGGACTTGGACAATATTGATTAAGCATAAGAATGTTTTTCATATTCATAGTATTAGAGTAATTTATTTTATAAAGCTTGTGCTAAATCTCAAAATATCTTAGGAACCCGTAAATGCCCTAATCTTTTTCTTAGTCTTTGCACCACTTTCTGTTAAATTATATCAGTAAATATTGCATTGTGTATCGCAAGAACAAGTAGGATCTTAGGACAGTTTGGCCATATGCAAAGGCAATTATCCAAGAACATATCCCAATATCGCTCGCTTAAACTATAAATGGTTGTGAACTCTAGTAAGGCTAATATCGAACAGGACCTTTAAAACCCCTAGTTGACTTTGTCATAACTAATTGTGCTTTCTGCAGTATTTAATAGATACGCTAGATATTACGTCAACGAAATTCGGGAAAAGACTGTAGTTCTCTGGCCAGTTATTAAATATTATTAGTGAGCAGTGAAAAGTTTTAAAAAATTTCCAAGCTATAAACGGAAAAAGTGCGACATAGAACCATATTTATAAAATTAATAAAGTGTTGGAAAATGTGAAAAAATCCAAAACCGAATAGAATAACGTACGAGTCTTGAGTTTATAAACTGATTCAATGGTAAGCAAGAAATTCTTTATAAACCTAGTATATAAGACTGAAATTCTTTATTCAGCTGATCTGAAAGCGAAATATTTATTGTCTGTGGGTAAACATTTCTATTTCTTTTTTAACACGAAAATAGTTTTGATCCTGAGCCACATGTTGTAAACTGAAAAAATTAATACCTAAAAAAGAGTCACAATGAACATTTTTTAAGATCAATTAATCGATCGAAAAAAAATGTTTTTCATTGAAATTTTCGAATCGCTGCGCAAAATTTTTCAACATTTTTTTTTGCAAATTAAGCAGGCTTATTCAAATTTATTTGTTCTGTACAAAAATGTATAACGCAATTCCATATTTCTACACTCATTTTTTAAAATAAGTTTTCAAACATTGAATGTCCTTGAAAGGGTGTAATAAAGGTATTTATGCTCGCAACGCACTGAACAAGACTAAGCCTACAATAGATTAAATTTTACAGCAGGTGTCGGAACAGCCGAAATCAGATGACTATTTTAAGTTGGTGAAGTTCGACTGAGTATTGATTATGAGAAAAAGTTGATTAATTTTACAAAAATGTAAGACTTTTTGACTTGTACTTACCTTGATATTATACATATACTTATACATAAAACTCAAGAATTGTCCATAAGTCTAGCTTTTCGTGGAGCTCGCCGGTCACTATTGATTTTCTTGCCGCCTATTCGACACTTCAAATTCAATTAAAATTGTTGGACTAAAATTGCTCTTTGCCAGTTGGTCAAGTGCAACCTCGGCAAAATTTCGCAGTGAGCAGGATGAAGAGGGTGCAGAATCGAGAGGCTTGCGACAGTTGCTAAACAAACGCCAATCCAAGCAATTTCAGAGCTGACTGCATTGCAATGGGCGGCAAAAAAGAAGGAGCCAGGACGGGCTGCATGCATTGCAGGGAAGTGATTTCTGCAGTGATCCGGGGCCAAATCCGAATCCGTTTGTGTGAAGTGAGTTGCATAAATGTGCAAGCTGTTCAAGTGATTTCGATTGAAAGACTCTGAATGAGACGTTGTCTGGCTTCGGCTGCGGATGCTGGTCCTTCATCTGCTTGCATTATTTTGTTGCATACTTTGCTGCGTCATTAAACCAATTGATGAACTTGAGTAAAAGCGATGGTGGGGGAAAACGTGTTTATTACGCTTAGCGTGCCGTAAGTGGAAAATCAAATTCTAATACCAGAAATGCTGAAGCCCTCTCGAGCGCTTCTTTTGATTAGACTTATGAACATGTACTAAAAACTGATAAGCGTCAATTGATATACTTTAAATGTTCTTTAATGTTAATTTCAGTGCATATATCCTAGTGCTTTGAACACATTGTGTCGATGTATGTAGGTTGAGCGCAACTGAAGTCAAAACATTTCATTAAAGGCAGTGGCGAACATAGTGAAAAAGTACACAAAAGCAGCTGAAAACAAAATGTTGACAAAAAGCGTAAAACACACAGCTCAATAGTGCACAAAATGAAAATGAAAATGACGCAACATGCAAAAAGCAGAAACAAAAAAAGAGAGATGCAACAAACTCGGAAAAAATGTAACCAAACCGACTGACCAGCGGACTGAAAGAGCCTCAGACAGACAGTCCATACAAATAAATACGCAGTCAAAGGCAATCAACGTCAGCTAGCAAGGCACGGAAGGCAGCTCGGCTCTCGTCCCTCTTGACAACTACCGATATTTGATTTGAAAACATTCCGAAAAACGCTGCCCAAATGCATTTTCATTCTATTTTGAATGCTCGTCATCGTCATCAGCCGCATTTGGCTCCAAGGATCGCTGCAAATAAATAAATGGCAGCCATTGGCACAACAATTACAATTCGATGCAGACATTTCGATGGTTTTGTACTCCTTTTTTGGTCATTTCTTGGTGCCGCTTTGTCACTTGATGTTTTAATTGGAAGGCAACATTTCATTTCAAAGCCGATGTTAGTTTTTGAACTTGACAGAAAAAATTCACAAGTCGCGTGCTCGAATTCACTCGATATTTTAAAAAATTATCTAAGAACAAGAAACTTTTTAATAATAAAGTTAATACAATAAAGTTTTCCTATAATGCCTTTTTATAGGATATATACGTTCGAATTTGATTTACAATCGATTCCTCAATGTTTTGTTAAGTTTTAACATTGATTTAATTTTATTTCTCGGGAACAAAACTTTTCTGACTCAAAACTTTTCACTAGCTAATATATGTCGGTCAAAAAAGCACAAAATTACGAAGAAATACTTATATTTTATAGTCTTCCTCCGTCAGACTTTCTTCCTGGCGTGTGAAAACTGTAAAGCTTTGTCGGTCGAAAAATTAACATCACATTAGGAAAGCGAATTTTATTCCGATACAATATTCGTAATAGGTATGAAGAAATCGTCCCTAAATTTGTGTATAAAAACTGTATTTACATTTTAAAAGCAGTCGATTTAAAATTTAACTTTGGTAAAAAAAAATGATGTGAAGGAAATTTTAATGCCAGTCATAAGTTCTTATCGGTGCGAAAAAGACATTTGTTCAGGCTCCACAACATCTGATTAAGGGGCGGGTATGGTTAATTCCGCCAAAAAAGGTATATTTTCATGAAGTTTTTCACACGATACGATTAATGTCAGATCAATTGTTTTGTTAGCATATCAAAGTACAACATTTAAACTTTTTTTCAGAAATTTTCATCGAAAAAATTTGCAGCCAAGCTCCGTGGGCGCCTCCAAAACAGGTTTTGCGGTGAACAGCACAACTCGTTACTAGATCATTAGAAAAAAAAAAAAAATTTTAATTAGTTAAGATGTTTCTAAAGGTAACTACGTTGAGTTTTTTCTTTTTTTTCTATTTTTGTGTTTTTGGTAACACTTTGAAGTCAAAAACGTGATTTAAAAAAAAACACTCGACGTCAGTACCTGCAGATTTAGGTACAGAGATAGTGTGCAAAATTTCAAAACGATTCGTTCCGTATATTTTGCAGAATCGTGTTCACCGACTTTGAAATTGCAGGAAAACGTTTTAAAGTTTTGGACATCCATCGCATACATGACGAGCTAACTCACCTCGTTCAACTGCCCATAGCTTCCAAAGTTTTACTCGGATCAATCTAAAATTTTATCGCAATATTCTTCAAATGTTGTGCATTCAGAAAAAAATAAGAAAAAGCAAACAAAATTTAAATACCATACCACCCCCTTAATTTACTATGACTGGCTAGGACCACACGTAAACTGCCCAAGAATGGACCACTTTTTTTTTGGATCTTAGGCTTCTTAGGCTATATATTAGGTAAACAGGAAAGGTTAATTATTTATATTCAACAGGGCAGCTTGTGCAGTGGCGGATCTAGGGTTGCTGGGGCAAAGCGAAAAATTCCGCTCCCTCCCTATTTGCTGTACGAATAACATTGGAGTATTTTAAGTGTAAATAGGTTATTAATTATTAAAAGCTTATATGTTTGAAGAATTGTATTTCATATCGATTCTTTTGTCAGTTACAACGGAAAAAACATTATTATTTGTGTTTTTGCAAGACAAAAAAATATTACTTTTAGAATATAACTTTTCTACCCTTGATTGCCGCAAATTCAGCAATAATATCATTGTAGTCGAGTGATGCTGATACTTCATTTTCGATAGATAGTATAGCTAAATTTGACAGCCTGTCTTGGTTTATGGTTGTGCGGAGATAAGATTTTATCAACTTCATTTTACTGAATGATCGCTCACACGAAGCCACGGACAATGGTAGAGTCAGCAAAATTTTCAATGCCGTCACAAGTGTTTTGTACGCCTCTAACCCCAACGATGAAATATACAATAGTATTCCTTTTGGAGTGAGATCAAGACTTTCTCCCTTTTTATTGGCCCTTTTCAGAAGAAAAATGACATCTTTGATATCGTGAAACAATTCCGTACCATTTAAATCATTAGAATAAATTTCAGCTAATAATTTGCATTTATCTTTAACTTCCAATAGTTTTCTATTTAAAACTTATTTGTCGTCATCAAGATATTCTTTGAAGTTGAAGAAAAATCCGAAGCGCTCATTCAGCACTCTCAAGCTAGCAAATCGAGTAGAAACTTCGATTGAAAGGCTGCCCAAAATTTCAACTAAAAAGCGTCTTGTTTCTTCGTAGGTATCGAGCGCAGCGTCATCAACAAGTTCACCTGGCATCTTACGTTTCTTGATTCTCCTCTTCGAAATCGTTACGCCCATTTCTTCACACAGCTTTCAACATGACTGTGTCGCAAAGACTAACTCTCCACTCTTTTATGTGGTCTGACAATGTCTCAAGTAATTCTGTCGCTTCGTAGATGGTGATCCCTTTGGTTTGGAACATTTTCTGCATTCTGTCAATAGAAGGAGCAGAACCAGGAAATCAAATTTTTCAACAGCACCAATGACAAGTGCTGCATCTTGTCTTGTGTCCACGGTTTCAGAAGAGGTACCTCGGAGTATTTCTAAAGCTGTTATTACTTCATCAAGTTGGGTAGATAAAGTATTTAGTATTTTGATTGGAATGCATGTAAACAAACGCGCTCATAACCTAACACGTATACTGCTCGCTCTCTCTCTCTCTCTCTCTCTAAGCAAGAAAGTTTATTATGACGTTTCGAGCGTCCCTTTTCCTTTTGATCACATCATAAAACACTTACACTTGTATTCTATAGGGAGCGTTACATGCGCAGCGCCGCGGGAAAATATGAATTTTTGAAACATATATTGCTAGTCGGACTCGATTTAGCGTCTCTTAGATTTGGCGCCCGGGGCGCTTGCCCTTTTCGCCCCCCCTAGATCCGCCACTGAGCTTGTGGCAGGTCTTTTAAAACACTTAGATCAAGAAGACGCAACGAAGTTGTGACTTCAACATATAAAACTTCAGATAAGATCATAAAATGTGTATACAGTTGTATATATTATTAATGTTTAAAAGTGGTTTTTGCTTAATTTGTTCATACATTTTTACCGTATGCAGGGGCATATAATAATACTTTTTTAAAAC